TAACATTGTCTCTACCACATAGGAGGAGGGGTAAACAAGGTATCGTTGAGTTTTTGTACTTGATTGAGCAAGCATATAATCTTTTATAATGACTTCTAGTCCTACCTGATGAGATGTAAGAGGAGAGTTGTGAATAGAGAAGGTGCTGATAGTCAGACAATTTGGATTTAGACTATTTTTCACATGAGTTCAGGTGTCCGTCGACTACAGTAGTAACGAGCCGAATTAATTGCACATTACTTACCCTAATGACAACCGTTTATACCCTTCGAAGTGTGACATATTCCTTTATGAGTAGCCCAGGAAGGACCAAGGGGGAACAACAGACTACAATAGGGAAGATGCAGTAGTTAACAAACTGTAAAAGTAGTAGTTGAGTGACATCTGATTGTCCTAATTTCTTAGTGTAGTAGGTTACATCAGGCATTTTCTTAGAAATAGAGAGAAAATGGGGAGACCAAGGAAGGTCAGAGGAAAGAACTATTCCAAGGTATTTTAAATTTGGCTTCGTTTCCATTTCAGTGCTCTCCATGCTATAAGCATCATGTGAACGGACCAGTTCTTGTAGATCACAGTTTTCCCCGGAGGTGAAGTTAACTGTCTGACATTTAGAGGGGTTTAATATATGACCATTTAGCCTGGACCACTGACTGACGTCCAATGGAAAGCTATTCATTTTAGAATAGTGAGACTGGGAGGTATCTATCAACGAGACAGTCAGATTATCAGCTTAACGAGGTCGATTTCGTCTGAAAGAGGCAAGTTATGTAAGAGGAATGAAACAAGAAAAGGAGAGAGAACATCATCTTGAGGGACACCAGCTTCAGTGAGCAAGGCAGAGCAAGATTTGCTCTTTTTAACATTTCCTGCACTCTGCCAGATAAATAAGACTTAGTTTGTGTGAAGGAAAGTTTATTTAACAGCAGACATTTGGGTATAGAGTACGAGGTGAATGCGTAGTCCAGCAGGGTACACTGAACATATTTGGATCTTTTATCTAAACAGGTAACTATATTATGATGCATGACAGTAGCAGCAACTAAAGTACACGTATCCTGTATATATACGAATTGCTCAGGATAGTTAAAATGTTCAAAGAAGGTTCAAGGTTAAGTAAAAGTAATTTTCCCGATAATTTTTGAAAAAAAGAAGAAGCAATTGCAGCAGGCGTGAATTTAACATTCACATCAGTACATATTCAACTGACTACTATGAGCAGATGAAAACTGCTCATATCAACCATTAGGGCTTGCCAGCTTAACCTTTACTCTGTTAAACTTAACTCTCAGGATCGAATAAGTTCAAACCAACCGAATTCTATCTAGCCTCTTGATTGAATCATTGATCCATAGAATTAAATTCAGAAAACAGAACGGCTGAGCGAAGAAATATTTACTTTTCAATTAGATCCTCATCTTTGGCTCTACTCTAATATATATAGCATTTTTATTGCAATACACAACGGAGAGGGACAAGTTTATGATATCTTTTGATGGATCCTTCTTGTTCACCAATGTACCGTTATTGGAGACAGTGGATTTTATATGTGAGGAGATTACTACACGAGACATAGACATCAGAATTTCTGTATCCACCTTGAAGGAACTTATTTTAAGATGTACAATGAATGTTCATTTCTTATTCAATAAGGAATATTACAGACAAACTGATGGTGTGGCAATGGGTTCCTCATTAGGTCCAATCCTAGGTGATTTTCTCCTCTCTAAGTTAGAGAATGGACCACTGAAAGGAGTAATTAATGACTTGGATTTCTACTATCGATATATGGCTGATAAATTTCTCGTTATGAAAGACGAGAATGATGCAATGAACATCCTTGACAAGTTTAATGATGCACATTCAGCAATAAATTTTACCATAGAGAAAGAAAGTAATGACAGTATCTCATTCCTAGACGTCTTCGTGGCAAGGAAAGATGATGGCACACTAAGAATAAGTGTGTATAGGAAACCTACAACAACAGGTCAGTACACTCATTTTTTGAGTTTTTTACCTTTGAAATATAAACGTAACCGAGTAAAGTGTCTGGTTCATAGTGCCAGGTTAATCTGTTCAGAAGACTGCCTCAATGAGGAGCTTCAGATTATTAGAGAATTACTTATAAAAAATGGTTATCCAGATAAGTTCATTGAGGAAAATATGAATTCAGCACCTAGGAGAGTCAGTATGGCAACAGCACCAGAAAAAACCATTGTTCATAAAACTGCAGTTCCTCGGTGACAACATCAGCGAAATAATAACACAGCGCCTGAAGAATACAGTTAAAAGAGCTTATTAAGCAGCAGAGGTACGTTGTCTCTTCACAACCACCCCTATTCTACGTTCGAGAAATAAGGATAAACTACTTAAATTCGCCTCTTCTAGGTGTATCTACCAGTTTGACTGCAGCTGCGGAGCCAGCTGCATTGGGCCGACAATTAGGCACGTTCATCATCGTATTTCTGAACATAATCCAGCATGGTTAAGCAAGGGGCAAACAAGATCTATTCGTAGTTCTAAGTAGTGAGCATAAGGCTGATGTTAATACAGCATTAAAAATTATCTATCGCATTCCTATTAATCTTAATTTTGCTCTACGAGTTCGTCTTCTACATACAGCTGAAGCAATAGGAATCAATCTGAAGAAGCCAAACCTGTGTGTTCAGAAGAAATTTGTACAGCCACTTTCCTTACATTGGTCATCGTTACATGAGTGTGTAAACCGGACTACTTCGCCTCCCTCCCCCTAAACATTTAAAATTATAAAAATTATAATTGTCCAAATGATTTAATTTTTTCTGACCACTTCATCTTTAATTCCGTGTCGTCCTTGTAAAATTTATTTATTCTAACCATTTCTACCTTTTAAATGTGTATTGATTTTCTTCGTTAATTATCAACCCATTGACATTTTGACACTGTTTAATTATTGTTAACAAACATATCACCACTTGATTGGTAAACTGTTGTGCATTGTGATAAAAATGCTGTATATATTAGAGTAGAGCCAGAGATGATGATCTAATTGAAAAGTAAATATTTCTTCGCTCAATCTTTCTGTTTTCTAAATGTCTAAATGGGGATGTTTTCTATATTAGAATAAAATTCATCAACTGCAAAGTATGCAGATCAAGGCGACAGTTAACCATGATTTCTTTTGAAAATGAAAAGTATTTTAATTTGCTTGATATCATAACTATCAGTCGAAACGGTCATTTAGTATTAAGATTATCTCGTTCTGATTAGGAAGTATTAATATCTTACATGGGTGATTTCTCATTACTTATATCAATCAGAAATAGTATAAACCATGTTGTTAATCCTTTAGATCACCTTCACTGGATACTAGTTAGTAATTAGGTATCATGATTCTAGTCCTTTGTTTAGTGCAGACTGGATTCTGTCAGTGAAATTTGTAATGTGACCATCATGCTAGGTGACTTTTCATCATGATGCACTCTGAACTGTTATCATTAGATGGTTTGTTTAATACAGATGCATGATTCTAATTACTAATTAGTGTCAAATCAAATTATCCAATGAAATACTCACGCAGAAGGTCAATCTCCAACCCGAATAGCTCAGAAGTAACATCTCTGACTGCAGTACTCAATGGTTGACACGGATTTTGGATCTTATGAGGGACATGAGTTCCTGCGAGATTACAGTTACACCTTGCTGACTTGTAGATGGCAACAAGCACGAAACCTGGGTTCAAAGCTTCTTGCCTCCAAATATCTAATAGCAACAGTTCTTTAGATTACCATTTGTGATATCAATCAGATCATATTTTGTAATGAGGATATTTTTTCTGGCTTCCGAGGATAAACTATATTGGACTGCGTATAATATGAAAATGGCAAGAGATCTTGGAATTAATTACTCATTATCCCAAATATGACTTGACACAGGATCTTCAGGTAACTAGGCGAGCAGTTAACCACTCACCCGCTGGTTTAGAATCTTATCGGCAAAGAATGCTAACTCCTGTCAACACAAAGTATAGCGTCTCCTTTATCCGATATCTTCAGCAAATATTTACCTAAATGTAGCGCATAAATGAATGTTTATGAGAAAGACTTTATGCAATTCCAGTCAAAGTCTGTAACTGATAGAGCCCATCAAGAGCCCATCGGACATGAGATGAGATACCTGCCGATGATATTCGATGGCAGTGACGCCAGTTTGCGAATTAAAAATCACGAAGGTACAGAAATTAGAATTCATGGTAATTAGATTCCAACCTTGTGGGTGATTGCTAACTTGTTCGTATAGTCCCCTGAAGGTTTTGCGTTGAATCGCTGTTGTGGTCTTGAGTATGCATTCCCCACACCAGAACGGAATGTCTACCCGATATTCTCCAGTTATCATTTCTTGTCTAACCGACATCACTTAGGCATGAAATCCGCCTTGCTAACTGTGATTTCTAAGCAACACCTAGTTTAAGGGGATTCTGACTACCTCTTAATTCTACGAATGTGATAATCTGATGCTCACTAGCGACTGGCCCTATTCAGGCAATGACCTGAGGTTCCAGTAAAAAACGGTGACCAGTAGGGTACAGCAGGTTGAAGGTAAGGCAGTAACTCATCGAAGAAGACATTGCGAAATGGTCACGCTTTGTCGTGAATTGGCAGAAGTTAAAATTCATAAGCCCCTGGATCGTGTCCCAGTGGTTCAATGGTCTACAAGCTCGCCTTGTAACCAGAAGGTTCTAGGTTCGAACCCCACTTGGTGAGTACTGATGGAGAGTCCCGACCCAATTGGGGACGAAACAGCTGTCCAGTACTCCAAGCTGGTTTTCCAGTGGTTCTCTAACTGATGTCGGCTCATGGTGAAATCCTGCATCTAATGCCTTTTGAAACAAAAGAAAACCGTTCAGGTTTTTATGCCTTACGCAATACTGAATGCTAGTAAACTATCCGCTTTTGTATTCCTTTCAAATTCTCTATTTTGTATTATTCATCTTTAGTTAAATTACTTTTATCGAATCAAATTTAATGTTATCATCTTTATTCTTACTAATGCAACAACTTCTTGTTAGTAGTAGTACAGAGAAAATGTTGAAGTATTTCTCTCAAATCAGTATATCTATATATATGCCTTGTTAATACAGACATTCAGAGTTTGTGCGTCTGCATGTGCGTGTGTGTATATGTTTGTGTGTAAGGGAGAGAGTGAGAGAGACAACTGTGCACAGCAAAGGTCATCCATCCATTGAGTTAGAGTAGTATATATATATAAATACATATACGCATATGCGCATAGTTAGTGAATAAATAAATGATTCAAAGAAGAATGAGTGGGTTTCAATGTATAGACAATCAGAATTTGGATTCTTGAATAATATATCTACTGAAATCAGTAATCAGTAGTAGTGGTACTACTGTTGCTAATAATAGAAATTCGTGGTGTTTTAATCAACTGCATTACACAAAAGGATTATTGTCATTATTATTATTCATATTCTTGATCAGACAATCAAAAAAGTATTAATAATAATAAATAAACAAATAATATCAATATCACAAATAACAGGTCTATTTGATAAAGGATTTTAAGTGAGTAATCTTCTTGTTTGTTTATTTTTTTTATATAAAAAATTAAAGTTTATCTGTATAATGATAATGATAAAATACAGTGGTCATATAGTATGATGAAGGTCTGTGTAGTGATTTGATTTTTAGACACGTCAATAGTGCTCTCACCTAGTGGTTCATTTCACCTACACCTATGGAGAATATAGTGACGCTTTGCATTCTCTCGATGACTAACTAACAATAAGAGAAGATGCGTTCGTCAAAAATAAAGCCACATTTAGAAAGCTAGAGACCAAAGCTGAATATACACACTTCTCCCAGTTTCGTACTAATGAAATACAAACGTAATTAGATTAGGTGATTAGCACTTTGAGTGACGTCGATTAGTTGTGTATAGAAAAAGTTCATATTCTAAGCGGAAACGGATATCCAGAAAAGTTTATAAACATTTATTTCGCGATACGAATTTAAAACAAGTAATAAAGGTTAATAAAGCAGGATTTAATGAATTCATCAAATTTCGGTAGAACTCCTCTTCAGCTGAATACTCTACATACACGGATATATATACTTTTGAAATTACATTGAGAGATATAAGACTGATAAGTAAACAAACTAGATTGAATTAGTCATGCATAAAGAAAGGTGCGAATGTTTTCCAGGTCATGTTCAAATAGATAAGGGGAGAGAGAGTATGAGAGATCAAAATTAGACAATCGCGATTATCTACTCGTATGATGGAGCATTTGCCAAAATGCTGGAAAACAGCTGAGTGAAAAGTGCCGAAATCCTCAATAACAAAACATCTTGTGGATTACGGACATGATATAGACGCGGTCAAGTCATTCACTATTGTCAGTAGACAAAGAAACAAGAAGATGCTCACAATTGCAGAGACTTGTGCAACTTGAGTTTATAAACCAGGTCTCTGTGTACAAAAGGAGATGGTCGTGACTCTGAATCTACCATGGTAATACGTTTTACTTATTATTCTACCTCTTATTATTATTATCATTATTCTTGATTCATTTAAAACTATCCTTTATCAGTAGGATTATCTTAACTCACTTCAACACTATTATTATTATTGTTATTATAACTATTACTATTGACATCACTCTGGTTGCAATTCTTGTTAAATTCTCTAATGTCTAATTGTTTATCTAAGTGATGTAATTGAAGCGTAATGCAATTTATCTTAATTTTGATCTCTCATGCTCTCTCTCTCTTCTTATCTATTTGAACATGACCTGGAAAACATTCGCACCTGTCTTTCTGCATGGCTATGTCAATGTAGTTTGTTTACTTAGCAGTCTTATATCTCCCAATGTAATTTCAAAACTATATATATCCGTGTATGTAGAGTATTCAGCTGACGATTTCTACCGAAATTTGATGAATTCATTGAATCCTGCTTTATTAACCTTTATTGCTTGTTTTAAAGTTTATAAAGGTGAACATGGGTTATAATACTAGTAAACATGAACTGACAATGGTGGAGATAAAGGCATTATTACTGCGTTAACAGTTCAACGGGAATACTCTTACGAAGATTCTATCTCAGAGTTTACCTAGAACGATAAACAAGACTTTCTAATATGGAGATCTGTCCCTATCTTTCAGTAACCGCCACTTGTTCACGGTGTAACTGAAAGACATCTACCCTAATTTTAGCTCCTGCACCTCATGCATATGTAGTTTCAACTGTTCCCGGGGTTTAACTTATGTAGGGTGCATAATTGGGCTGGTTCATTTATGAATTCGAGAAAGTTTACCAGTTTGATTCAGTAAGACTGAAGTCAAATGCATAAACACCTCCGATTCTTTTACACTTGGTCGATACAAGCCATCGCACCAACGCCAAAACAGCCTTCAGGGTCATTGTCACACTCGTTCACCTACGTCTTTCACATATAGCAATAAGATCGACTAAACCGGAGCTTCTTATTCAAAAGGAACATGTTCAGGTACTATTCCTAACGTGGCCAAACTTGAATAAAATTCTCTTATCCCCTTTCCGGAGTGCTTTTTCCCCTTACATCTTTCTCTTTTTTCAGCTTTTCAAAAATTATTGTCTGTTTCTATTTATCTTCGTCCTAACAATTTTAGTTACAATGTTTTATAATTTACACCCTTTATTCTAACATTCTTTCAAAATCATTGAATTTTCCATTGATACTATCCGGACTTATTATTAGTGATATTCCCTCTTCTCTTAATACATGCCTCTACCTGTTTCTTTTCACATATTCGCCATTTCATCTTGAAATATACCCCACAATCTTACTATGCCCTCTTTAATGCATACCATTTCGAACTAGTCACTCACCTGACACTTTTTACAACCTTGTACTGACTTGCCAATATGTCTTTCCTACATGGTGAACAGTAGTCAGATAATGAACACATAGGAGAAGCTTAGTGCTAATTCAAAGAATGACATATAATAATGGTAACAGTCATAGTAATAATAATGGCGTGAAGGGAAGTGGGCGAAAAGAAGTCTGAAGGGCAGACAAGAGATTCTTAAGACGTAGAAGAATATTATAAGATGTGAAAATATAAGATGATAACGTCCGTGATGGCCACATGATTAGTTTGTTTACATTGATCCTTATGGCTTCAGTTTGGCCTAGTTGGATACCTTTAAGCAGATCGTTTGTCATTCAGTATGAGTCTATGAACGCCTCTTCTATTTCGATACAGTATCCATTCTCCACTAAGTTGGATAATATGATTCTTGGTTACTCTTTTTCCAAGCCACACTAAGTACATGTTCACGAGTATGACCTGTATAACTCCGCAGGAGCAGTTAAATTTGCATACATATTTATCTATGTGGCCATAATCGATACATGATCTTTCGTACAATGTGCCAGTTTAGATTCCGTTGATTTTCTGACTTGTTAATCGGAGGCAGTGAAAGCACTTTCGTTAGATCTACTCAACATGCCGTCTTTGAGTTGTACTCATTAAGTATAGCTTTTTATTACCCATCACACCATGAAAAATGTAATCAGTTCTTCTGGATTTATGCTTATTTACGAAACTGGTAGGATAACCATTTTGTATCAGGGTGTTTTTTCCTCTATTTCATGTTCAAAACACTCATGGGAACTTGTGTGTCTAATTCATTAAGTTCGCTTAGCACTGTTATTATTTGTCATCCTTTGGTTTACACCAAGTTATCTTATTTCTCCAATATTTGGCTGGTGTTCACTGTGTGTTATTTTGGATATTTGTCTTCTGTCGGACTTATTACCTTATTACTTCATTCATTTGTTCCTAATTTTGTAGTATTCTTATCTCGTCTCACACGAATGATTATTACACGATAATGGAAAGTGCTAGTATGGTCAGTAGTTTTAGTGTTAGTCATGACGTTCTTTTCTAGTTCTCTTTGATAACGATAAGTTTTCAGATGAACATAAAGAAAACAGAGGTGACAAAGATTCCTGGCCAGCAGCAACAGCAACAATAACAAACAACAATCAACATAAATGGGAGCAATCTGAAAGAAGCAAACTCCTCAACCTACCTACCTACCTAGAAAACATCGTTTCAACTGTGGGCGGACGGAACTGATGAGGATATCAAAGCAAGGATCGGGAAAGCAAGACAAGCTTCCACTCCTCTCAAGTCTCTGTAGAGGTCAACAGCATCAGAATTTTCAACTCCAATGTGAAGTCAGTGCTATTATACAGATCAGAGACTTGGAGCCGCGCCACGAAGGCCACTTCGAACAAACTACAGACCTTCATCAACAGTTGTCTTCGCTCAATACTACTCAAGATCAGATGGCCAGAAAAGATCAATAGCAGGGATCTATGGGAACGAATGAACCAACCTAGCAGGAACTGACTGTGCAACAAATCTGCAGGAAGAAAAGGAGGTGGATTGGCAATACTCTGGGAAAAGCAGCAAGTGACATCACTCGTCATACCAACGCTCGAGTGGAACCCGAATGGGAAGCGGCGAGTTGGTTGTCAGTGCGAGACTGACACATGTAGGAGGCCATGCATGTGGGCAGACGTGGAGCCAGGTGAAAACGTTGGCAGAGAACCTAACGCAATGGAGACGTGTGGCTGAAGCCCTTTGTTCCTCTAGGAACTAAAGGAAACAATAATAGTAATAATAAGTGCAATGCTAATGACATCTTTTTTGCTTCTTATTGGTTAGCTATTAACTTTTGTAGTTCTGATCATCAGGCTATGTTTGTAGCAGATATTCCCTGCTCAAAGTCGTTTCATTCTTCTCGTCTGGAGTTGATCTTAAATGCTTAAAAGTATGCCCAAAAAGGTTTTTCAGGTGATAACACTATACCACAATGCTGTGCATCATTTAAACTAATCTGAGGTACTCTACCTTTAGTGTGCTCATGCACAGAACTTATCATCAAAGCGTTTACTTTGTTCTTGCTGTTGTCTCTTAGATTCTCAGTTTGAGTTGCTTTTTATTGAGTTACTTTTTATAACTTTAGCGCAGATGCATTCCACATAAGTATTTGAATACAGTTTGTCACAATCTTTAGAGGGACCCTATCTGAAATTCTTAGGTTACACATACTCTTTCAGATTAATAATAATTGATGTTCATGGTTGAATATTATATGTTACACACAATCCACCTGTTCATAAACGTAACAATGTCATCAGTTTTAATAGTACGGTTAATTAACATCACATGCTTTAATTAAGGCATAATGGATAGGTAATCATAAATTTACAAGCGGTTTTGTAAAGAAATCTTGAAGTTATTTTTTTCCTGAAAAGTCATGATCCATGATGTGTGAGAAGACCACTCGTTCAGATTTAGACTGCGTTAAGAAGCTTTCCAGGTATTTCATTGGCCCTTGCGTTTCTTTCATGGACCCCTTAAGTGTTTCGCTCATGGGGGAAACTAAAGACACTATAGTGAAGGAACTTACACTTCAGTCAAGTCATATTCAAAGGCTAAGACAGGTCAGTCTATTGTTGAATAATATCGGGAAATTTACAACACCAAAGGAGTGACCCACAATA